CACACAGTAGGAAAAACATAAAGTTCTTACTAACCTTTAAACTCAATAAGCAAAGGCAACCTAAGCCAGGGGCACTAGAAGAGCATTAAGTACATCAACAGGCACTATCTTCCATCACTTCCATAGTAGAGAAAAATAGGATCACAAGTTATGATCCTTCCACTCCTCTGCCCACTTGTACAAGGGCACTACCAACAAATTATTAGCATCCTCACCTAAGAGAAAAGACAATCAAACTACATCATCATAATATTAGTCCAACCTAAACCCTAATATTAGTCCAACCTAGAGAGGTTGAGCTTAGGAAATACTCATCTCCCTTATTGGTATATGACAAAGCCATAAAGGAAAGTCTGGAGAGATGGTACTCAAATCATGACTTACGCCAGCTAAAATCCTAATATCAGTCCAGCCTAGAGAGGTTGAGCTCAGAAAATACTCATCTCCCTCATTGGTATACGATAAAGCCATAAGGGAAAGTCTAGAGAGGCGATACTCACATCACGACTTGGGTCGGTTGGAAGCCCTAATACTAGTCCAGCCTGGAGAGGTTGCGCTCATAATATACTCACTCCACAGCAAACCTAGAAGAAATCTTCACCTCACCATCATAAAACAAGCAATCAGGAGAAGCAGAAGGGAGCATCTATCATAAAGGCAGAAGATCAGATGGTACATTTTGCCATCTTTTTTCTCCAATGGAGTATGCAACCTGACACTCAACTACTTCAAAGAGAAAGGATACGGGCAAAACCATCTATACAAAGAAATAAATGTAGAAGCACCTGCACGAAGGGACAAAAGAGAAAACCTAGACGAAATGTCTACGTCTTTCTTCCCTCATATGGCCATCCAAAGTACAAGTAAAGAAAGGCAACTATAGACACCCAATTTTGTCCAGGATACCAAAACAAGATAAAAGACTACCAAAACAAGGTAAAAGGTCTTTGAAGGCCCAATATGACATCAAAATAGATCATAATATTATCAGAAGGCCCAAAGATAAAAAAAGCCAAATTAAAAGCTCGTAATAGGTCATTCCGAATCCAGAACAGGTCATTCCAAACCACCAAAATGGCCTAAAAATCCTAGGTCAAAATGGACCATTCCCAATCTAGAACGGGCCATTTTGACCCAGGTTGTTACAAACAAAATAAAAGTTTGGAACGGGTCATTTTGATTTTAAAATTCCTTGTTTCGAATTCAAATTTTGTTTATAACAAACCAACCCAGAGCAGCTTGTTTCGATGACCAAAATTACCATTCCAGTTAGTTTTGACGCCTATAAATAGGTGTCTCGTGCACAGTACAAAAGGACCAAAGTGGAACCAAAAAGTGACAACTTTTGACTTGTTTTCTATAGTTGAATGCCAGACACTCTCTTTCTCTCTTCTTTTTTGTATTTCTTGAGTTTTGTGAGCATAATTGTAGTGTAAAAGGCTGCCAAAAAGCACCTAGCCCCTATATTTCAAAGAAGATTCCATAAAAGCTTGCTTCGGAGGTATATTCATGAAATTTCTTTTTTTCTTTATTACTTTGTTCTCATAATAATTGTGATAAATAAATGACAATCATGTAGATATATTAGGTTTAAACGTGTGGGGTTTTAAAAACCCCTACTTTTCTTAAGTAATTGTAATTTAACATGTAAATATTTAATTTTAAAGGGGAATAAATATTCAAATTATTATCTGTTATCACATTAATTTCGTCATAGGGTACCAAATTAGGGCGTTGTAGGGGTACCTAACACCTTCCCTACAATTTTAAAGGGGAATAAATATTCAAATTATTATCTGTTATCACATTAATTTCGTCATAGGGTACCAAATGAGGGCGTTGTAGGGGTACCTAACACCTCCCCTACACGTAATCAACCCCGAATCCAGTTCTGGCTATGGAGGCTATTATTGAAATTTTGAAAACCTTTTCTTTTTCTAACATTTTGAGTAAAATATTGGTGGTGACTCCTTTAAACCTTTTCAAAAACCATTAATTAGGGATTAGTATGGTTTCCAAGCATTTCTTAACCGATGAGATTTTTAAAATGGAGGTCCAAACCATCTGTGGGTAAGATCAAAATTTTTTGGGTTCTAACATATGCATGATCGTGCTCCATTGGAAACACATCCTGGTTAAAAGTAACATGTCTATGCTAGTATACATGGTTGTACTTGAAATGTCGCTCTAATTTTACCTACATAAAGATGTCAATAATCATTTTCTTATTTGGCTTTCAGTATAGTTTTTAGTATTTTTTCTTTCTTTTTCTCAATTATCCACTGAGGTTCTATGAGAGGTTGAGAGCCAAATTCTTTAAGAAGGATTCTTCCCCTTTACAGTTAATCCCTTTCCCTTGTTTTTGAATTTTACCAGGATGTTGGGTTTCTTACCTGTCATATTTGGCTAATCTTTCTGTCTAAGGTTATGATGTAATTGTCTTCAATGAACCCTTTTGTTAATTGAATGAATTTGTTTATGTAATTGTTTAATTATTTTAATGTTTCTACTCTTAACTAAATTAATTAAAAGTGCATGATTAATCTCTTTTGGTTAATTTTCATGCTCAAACTAATTTTCTCACTTTTCAATTGAATTAACTCATTAATCAACTTCTTTGATTTTACACTTTGCTTTGTGATAACTCTATATGATCAATTTATGGTTTTTCCCAAGGTAAAGACTATTTAACTTCCTTGAAAAAACTTGTTAACAAATTATAGATGTAAAATTGGTATGTGGAAGAACGTATTTAAAAGATTTTGATGATGCTAAAGAAATTGTAGAAAACAAGAAGTCAAGTTAAAGCAAGGTGATCATATTGTTGTGCCGGCCTGATGGAATAACACTAAGCCCGAGAAGACCAAGAGGTGGCATACTAAAGGAGGCAAGAGGAATGGGATAGTAAGGCCATTTTTGGACCATTAGCTCCTAAGTTTTATAGCATTTATTTCTTTATTCCTATTTTGCCCTTGTCTTTAATTTCCAATTTTACCCTTGTATTTTGGGGTATCTTAGTCATAGGATTTATTTTCTTGTATTTCCAATTTTACCCTTGTATTATGGGGTGTTCTAGATGATTAGGGTTTTAATTTTGGGCTAGGGTTTAACATTAGGAGGTGACGCATTTTTTGGTGACCTTGGACCTATTTTTGGTGTTAGAAAGGCTTAGGCCCAAGTGGAGGGCAAAGGTTGCATGGTCTTATCATGCACCTAGATATAGCCAATCTAAACCCATAGATTCCATCCTTGGCCACCAAGTTGCATCTAGGGTTCATTTGCATTTCATTTGGAATGCATTTGCCTACTCCAAATGCAACCCTAGATGCCTCCCCTCCTATAAATACCCAACACCCCACCACTTGTAAATACTTTGGAATATATGAATTTGAGTGAGCATTTTTGCCTCAAATCCTCTCCTTAGTCACTAGGTTAGTTTCGGCTAGCCACCTTCATTCTCCACCCCTTGGAGAGTGAAACCCTAGATTGGCCTCCATCTACACTTGGAGTGAGCCAACCTTGAGCATTCATACACCATTCACCATACACTTCCGCCACCTACAACCATTTCACGCCTAGCTTCCCTTGTCACCATAAACCTCCCTTTTGTCTACCCTTTGGTGAGCCTAGATCATGGCAAGGTCTTCCCCTTCATACTCTACATCATCCATGGAAGGAGGAAGCCATCACGGCCTCTCCAGGCCGCCTACTGATATTGTGAGTATTATTGTGCCGGCCTCTCCAGGCCGCCTATTGACATTGTGAGTATTGTTGTGCCGGTCTCTCCAGGCCGCCTGTTGATGTTGTGAGTATTGTTGTGCCGGCCTCTCCAGGCCAGCTGCTGATATTATGAGTATTGTTATGCCGGCCTCTCCAGGTCGCCTTCTAATGTTGTGAGTATTGTCGTGCCGACCTCTCTAGGTCACCTGCTGATGTTGTGAGTATTGTTGTGCCGGCCTCTCCAGGCCGCCAACTGATATTGTGAGTATTGTTATGCCAGCCTCTCCAGGCCGCCTGCTGATGGTGAGTATTTAAGTTATACGAGACTACTTGACTAACAGTAGAGGGGATTATAATTCATGCACTTTACATTGGAGATAATCGGGGTTAATGAAATCGAAACTCTAGGGATTTAATCTTTAAATTTCATTAAAACATTTTCTTTTACATTAATTTATAAATTGTGGAATTTGTATCTTGTTTTTACAATCAAATGTGTTCCTTAAAACTACTAAAAGTCATGATTAAGTTGGTAATTGCTTGAACCTAATTCTTTGAGTTTGATATTTGAACTTTGTCACAATTAAATATGTTACTACCATGATAAGTTACGTTTGATTTTAAGTGCGTTTTTATATGTAGCATTGGATGTTCCATGTCTTTGTCTCAACACATGTGCTTTGATGATGTTACTTATATTCTTGTATGATGTTATTATAAAATAAATCCACATATTTTTTTTCTTAATCCTACATGTTTAATAAGCATCTAAACTTTAAATTCATCTAACCACACACACACACAACGCTTGTGAAGCTTAATTTTCGTTGGCTAAACATTATTTTGACATGGACAAGAATCGTTCATAAACCTTTAATTTGTGACATACAAATTTTTTGCATTTTTAAAATATTGATCTTCTAAGATAAATGTGTATAACACATTATGACAAACACTATGGCCTTAGAATGCATTATGCTTACACTTAATACAATGTAATCATAATTCAACCATGGACATTCCTTTTAATAACATTTTTTCATTAACCTCTATAATTAGTAATATTATCAATTTCAGTAATAGGGAAGAAATTTTAACAATTGTAGTTTTTGCATTAGTTATTACCTAAATTTACATTGAAAATAATCATTTGATGCCCAAAAAGATGTGTACACTAAGAAAAAGAGAGGTAGGAAAGTAAGAGAGAAAAATTGATAATATAATAAATAATTTGATAGAAAAGAGAGATAAAAGAAAAATGGAATAGGATGCTAGGCTAGTATAAAAAATAAGTGTGGAAAATTATATTTAATATGCACACCTTTGAAGAAAGGATTACTCTCCATTAATCATGATTGATTGAAATGGTTCCCTTTTTATTTCCACAAATGTGGAGAAATCCTTGCTCATAGGTTGTTTCCAGGGTTCTCCATCCATTTGCATATATGCATCTTTCCATTCCCCACCCCTGACTTCCAATCGAATAGTTGTTGCCTAAAAGTATACCTTTGTTGTCAATTTCACACTTGCCAAATGATGCTAAGGATAACCATCATATTATATATATATATATAGCAACATATAAATATATAATAGTTACAATTAAGGTTATTGATTATTATAAAATGTGAGTAAACTACATTAATGAACATTTTATGTTATCAAACAAGGGAGTATGTCGGTTGTTGTATGTCATATTCAAACTAGATAAATAAATCATGAATAGGTAAATTAAGACTCCAAGAATAAATATAGGTCACATTGCTCGTTACCAATGTTTTACATAGAAATAATTGTGGTTTAATTACTCCATTTAGTCCCCAAGGTTATATTAAGGACTGTGTAGCTCAAGATAAAGAATAATAAATTGGTCACATTTATGTACCTGATTTATAACATCCAAATATTTAGTTGTCTACTTGAGAGCGAAGGTGATAAACTAAAATACATATGTTGAAAGAGGAAATTTTGAATACAATAAGTTGTGATAACCCAAAAAGTAATAGAATTTGCTTAGCTATTTAGAATTTGTCCACCTTAAATCATTATATTTCACAATTCAATTAAGAAATAAGAAAATTTTGAGTTCATGTATTTCACAATTTTGAAGTAAAAGATTCACTTCAAATAAAAACTATAAATATGTCAAATTAAGGTGATACCTGGGCTATATGCTTTGCAGAAATCAATTCAACCATGACAAATGATGCATGCCATCCTTGTTTCAGACCAAATATTTCTATAAGTCCATCATCAACCTTTGCTTCAACGAAGCCTTTCTGGAAGCACATTAAAAAACATTGCACTTAAAAGTTAAAAAATAGTAAAAGAAAAAATAAATTGTCGATAAAGTGATCCAAAATCAAAGAAACTTATTCACATGATTAGAAAAGTCTAGAAAATGTAACAAGAAATGGGATAAGTTTAGAAATATTGTAAACTATTGAAAGTCTAGAATTATCCATTGCTAGCTAGGGAAAATTAAATCACTGACTTCAACATACTATATGTAAACACTTGAGCTTCCAATGTATTGTGTATTCCTTCAATGAAAGTTTTCAATGCAAAATTATAAAAGTCCTATACCTCCTTTATTTTAACATTCACTATAATAAATGTTACATATAGTGACATACAAAAAATATCACTATAGATACAATATATGTATCAATAAAATCTATTATTTAACATATAGCTACACATAATTTAATGTTGATTTTGAATGAGATTTAAAAACATACATTGTGTGTCACTATAACCTATACCTATATTTTTTAACAATATACTAATATACATTGTACATATAGTATAGGCAAAAGTAATTTTTAGTAAAAAGAATTGTGTCACTATAAGGTGTACCATAACATGATAAATTTTTTGTAGTGATTTTTTATTCAAGTAATTTAAAATATTATTTCACTATCACTATGTTTTAAAACTAATAGAAGTACCAAAGTTACATTTGGTTACCGAGTGTGAATATGTCGATTAACTATTTCCAAAAAATCTTACTATATCATACAAAAGAAAATAATTTCTTAACCATGACCAATTAACTATAATCGATTCTGATTCATATTTTCACAAAAAGAATATGATTTTTGGATCATTAAAATAAAGATTTTTTTTTCTTAAGATTTATGAGACATTATAGAAAAAAGATTTAATGCAACTTAAAAGAAAAAGTTGAAGGAGAATAAATAAATAGATATGAGGGCATTATTTATTTTGCAACAAGCAATGTTTTACGCGATCTTTCCAAGGATGATGAATGACACAAGTGTAAAACAAGTAGAATACCCTAAAGGAATTTCAAGGAGATGACAAGATATAAAGTGATAAAATTCAAATTTTATAGTGAGTTGGAGTTAATAATGACTAAGACCATAATAGACTACTATTTTAGAATAAAAGAATTAGTTATTCAAATGAGAACATATGGAAAAAAAATATTCCTAAGAAGAAAAATTTTGATTTCTATTCCCCATAAATATGATGCAAATGTGATTATGATTGAACAAATCAAAGATTTGTCCATCTTATCAATGACATAATTAATGGGCTTGCTTGAGAAAAAAATTGAAAAGATGTGATGAAGAATCTATGGAAAACACCTTCCATTAAAAGCTCAAAAATTGTTGTCTCAAAATAAATAAATAAAATATAGAGAGAATACAAAAAATGGAGAAGTTTTAAGAATTTAAAAAAAATTCTAGAAGTTTCAATTAAGATCAATAAAGATAAGTATCTTCCATGTGGCTTATTAAAAAAATAGTCACTTGGAAAATGATTCTTGGCATTAGGGAAAGCCACTATGTTAGCACTACAAGAAATTTGGACACAATAGAAAAACATTACAATGAGCAACATCTTTGTCTTTATGGTAGTAAGCGTAACTGGGATGATGCTAGATGTGAAAGCTCCATCAAGACACTAAAATGTTGAGGTTAAGCAAGAGTATTGTCTTACTAAGCATAAGTATTGAGAAAGGGACCCCTTTTTAACTTTAAGTGTAAGGTAAGGATCGCTAAGTAAGGGTGACATGGCACTAAGCGAGGGAACTTGAAAAAGAAACCCATGTTCTTTGTTCTCTTGATACTAAGCATGAGTAAGGTCAAGCTAAGTCTAAATCCTCTATTATTCCTTCTTTTATATTAATTTTTATATATTTGTTTTGATGGTGTTTTTATATATATATATATATACACACACATGTATGACAAATTGTGAATGAGAAAGGATGTTATGGATGCCATGGTGTGGCTATACTATGAAATTAAAAGACGGTCTAACCTATAGAGAGGTAGGAACCTCCACATGAAATTTGTGAAATCATGGAAATTTGTGTAATCATGCATCATTTTGATGGTGAACTTATGCTTTTAGAAAATTCTTGATGAATAGGTTAGTGGATGTCGTAGAGGGTTGTTAATTCTAGACCTTGTGGGAGATAATATTTGGGGAAGAGAATCCCCAATGGTCCATATTGATGTCATGTGAATCTGGACATATTATTGTAGCTAGGTGACCCTAACTAGTCACCCAAGTGTATCTTTTTAGTTGATTGAGTGTCGGCAATTATAATCGATTTAGGGTTAATCGTCATTTGCATGTACTCCTAATCCACTTTTCCAATGTTTTAAGTTGGTACCAAGTGCATATGAGCTAAATGTTTAAGGACATTGCATCATGTGTATGTGATTGAATTAACTTATGACATGTTGAAAATGCTTATAACCTGTTGAACATGTGTGTTTTATTACAACTTTCATTATACCTTAAGCATGATGTAAGATGTATCTCACTCCATTCTTTATTCTTGTTTATGTTTGGACTGATAGCATTAAGAAGTGAGGCTCATAAAGATGTTGAGAAAAATGCTATAGAGGATGCTTTTGCTTCTTGGTTGTTATTTCATTTTGGGTTGGTTACTAGACATGTGGATTACTTTATATGGTGTATGTTTCAATGATAAAATAATTTTATACTTTTAAATATTTATGTTTTTAATTAAGTTTTGTATTGTCCTTTGAAGTACCAAAATCTTTTTTAATTTATTATATTTTATTTGAGCTAGTTTTTGGTAATGTTAGAATGTGTCATATCCACTATTAATAAAAATATTTTTATTAACATCAATATAATCCAGTTATTTTAGCAAGGTTTATATAAATAAATTATTTCAAGAAAGTTTGTGTCACATTTAATGGTTTAGAGCAAATCAATTCATCTAGCTAGTGTGTTGTGTGTTTCCTACGTTTTTTATGGAGGACCACCCATAGAGAGCTTACACTTGAAGATCATTGAGCCTTTAACTGGGTCTGTGGTTAAGAGGTTAGAGGAGGCTTCTACAGAGGATGTGCTTCTAAGACTTATGCTCTATATAAGCATTGAGTATGATTCCTCTTATTAGTTCCTTAGTCTCTATTATACATACCTTGTATAGTACCTTGTATATAGTAAATATTTGTATAGACTTATTTTTGCCTTTGTATTTGTAAGACTTATCTTTCTTTATAGGTCATACCCTTAGGATTTTAGGGTATGTTACTTGGAGACTTTTACTCCATTTGACCTTATATTAAGGATCATAGATTTTCATATTTTTAGTATTAGTAATGAGGTAGCAAATAACAAGTGTGTAGGTGAAGCTAGCAATTGGGCCCTTAGTGGACCTAGGCCAAATTTTACATATTAGGCTTTTTTTTCTTCATTTAATCGAAGGAATTTATTTAGCTAAGTCTCACCATCATTTAGTGAACCTAACTAAACCAATTCCAATAGTTTTTGTATTGTATTAGATGAAAGAAATCAACCTAGGCCGCCTATCCTTCTCATTTGGCCGAAAATTATGAAGCTTCTCTAACACACTTCTCTCTTGGTTAGCCAAGACAGGGTGAATCTTGACACTTCATGACTGGCTCTTCTAGATCTAAGTGTCCCTTCCTTGTCTCTACCTTGTCTAACTTGCACTACAAGCTACTCCACCATTATATATAGGTTATTACTCTTGTAAAATTCACTTTTGGATGATATATGAGCATTGGCCAAGATTTTTATTCATAATTCTCTCTCTTAAAGGTCCTAAATTCTCTTTGATTTGCTTTTAATTCTTTTATCCTCTTCCTAAGAGTGTGGTGAGGATTGAAGTGGTTTACCTTCTACCTAGAAGTGGCACCACTTGAAGTGAGTTCTTCATCTTCCAAGGTGAAACCATAGGTCTCTACCTCCATTAGAGACCTTGAAGAAGGTTGAGGAGTGTCAAGAAGCCAAAGATCTAGGGAGGAACTTGAAGGAGAAGCCAAAGCCATTTGGTTACTCTTAAAGGTTTTCCATCAATTTCCTTTCTTACTTTGTGTTTGTTTATCCTATTTACTTTTTTTCCTCTACTTTCTTACTTCTTACTTGTCTTGAAAGTAATTTTTATAGGTAGATATAATCATGATATTACTAGTTCTCTTCAAGTCTTAGCTTAGGTTGTCGAAAAAATCAAAATAAAGAAGGTAAAACAACTAAGTTCTATAGGTCAAACCAACTCTAAATAAACAAGTTGCCTACATTTAAGGAAGGATAAAACCACGAAGGTGCACAAAATAGGGTTTGGGAGATTGATAAGTTATCTTTGATCAAGACATACATTGATGCTTAAAAGATGACTTATGGGTATGATGCGAATTATGGGTAGTAGAGTTGTCCTTTAACCCAATAGATTTTAATTACATGTTCTTTGTAACAGCCCAATTTTCATAGAATGTATGATGGCCCAAAAGCCCAATGAGGGTAATTTAGTAATTTATAGGAGCGTTTTAGTAGCCCAGAACGGACCGTTCCAAAATTGGAACGGGCCGTTCCAAGTCACTAAAATGAAGGTGATTTAGTGGCTCGGAACGGGCCTTTCCCAAAATGGAACGGGTCGTTCCAAACTATTAAATTTGCCTATGATTCTTAGTTTGGAACAGGCCATTCCCAACTGGAATGGGCCGTTCCGGATTTCAGAAATGGCCTTTAAACCTTATTGAGAAAGGGCCGTTCTGGTTTCAGAATGGGCCGTTCCAAAATATGACCGTTGAGAGTTTTTAATGCAAACCCAGAACGGGCCGTTCTGGTTTGAGAACGGGTCGTTCTTGATGTGAATTTTACTCATGATTTAAAGGTCCAGAACGAGCCGTTCCGAATTTGGAACGGGCCGTTCCGGAGACACCTGATGCCTATAAATTGAGCTCTCTGCCACTCCTATAAAGCACACTTTTCACTTTTCTCTTCTTTTCTTCTTTGCTCT